GTGGGGGGTGTTGTACAGAATGCTTGTAAAGGATGCAAAGGTAAAAGGTAAACGTTTCCCTTGTTCAAAAGCCAATTGAATCCAACTCTAGGGGGTGGTGCTCATCTCCATTTCCAAGCTGAAGAGCCAGCACTGCCCAAAGACATTTCCGTGGTCATGTGGCCAGCATGACTAGATGCCAAGGTGCACGGGACGCTGTTACCTTCCCACCAAAGCAGTACCTATTTATCTACTTGCAATTTCTTGCTTTCGAACTGCTAGGTTGGCAGGAGCTGGGGCCAGAGATGGGAGTTCACTCCGTCACGTGGCACTAGGGTCTCGAACTGCTGAACTACAGACCTTCTGGTCTGCAGCTCAGCATCTTAACCTCTGAGCCACCGCGGCCCCTAAAGGATGCAAAGATACAATGCATATTGTAATCAGCTTGCTTAGAGCAGAGGGAAAATGGTGGAGGCAGAAAATTAGCATCTTCTCTCACTACCGATGCAAATTTTCTGCCCCCAAGCATTTTCCCTCTGCTCTAATCAAGCTGATTATAATATACATTGCACACTGCATCCTTTACAAGCATTCTTTAAGACACCCCGACCATCTTCTGACTAGGATAAAAGGACTCAGAAATCTCCATTTCTACTGTACTCTTGTCTGACAAAGGCAGTTTCAACTCCTGAAAGCTTATACCCTGAAATTCTTGTTGGTCTCTGCTTCCAAACTCAAACCTAATTGCTTATATAGGTGCCAAATGGGCTCAGGGTACTTGAAGGACCACCTGCTTCCATATTGTCCAGACCCTCACTTTAAGATCTGTCTCACAAACCCTACTCTCTGTGCCCCCATTGGGGCGGGGGCCCAACACGAGACAGGGCTTTTTCAGTAGTGGCACCTTATTTGTAGAAGGCCCTTCCCCTGAGGCTTGCCTGGCACCTAAATTGCTTTCTTTTAAGCATCAGGCGGAAACATTTCTATTTGCCCAAACTTTTAAATAAGGAGTTGATTTTGTAAAAAAATACACACACTATATTATTCTGGAAACTGTTATTTTAAGCTATCTCTGGTCTGTTTTTGTGGTCGATGTTTTTATGCTGGGCTGGGTTTTTAATAGTGGGTTTCAATTAATCATATTTTAATCTTTTGTCGTCGTCATCATCATCATCATCATCATCATCATCATCATCATCATCATCATCATCTTGTAAGCCACCCCCGGGGAGGTAAGGCAGTACGATATAGCCCAGTCTCATCACACCTTGGAGGTTAAGCAGGGTCAGTAGTTGGGAGACTGTCAAGGAAGACTCTGCAGGGGAAGGCCATGGCAAATCACCTCTGCTTCTCACTTGCTTTAGAAACCCCTTTCTGGAGTCTCCAGAAGTCAGCTGAAACTTGACAGCAGTTTACACACATACACAAGCCACCTTGAGCAGGTTCCTAGGAAGGTGGTATAAAAATGTTCTTAATAAATATGAGATGTCTAAGACAGGCTAAACCTGCCATTTATCTTATACTGTGTGGCTGTTGTGATCACGTGCATAAAATGTTCTTGATACTCTTGAGATACAAGAGCTGCGAAGAGGCAATAAGGAAAGGGTGGAAAACCATCTTGAAAAGGTATCTTAGTTATTTCAAGGCCTCATTCAAGATTTAAACGACTCAGTTTAGAATGCAAAACAAGTTTACTTCCAACAGCCTGCCAGATGACTGGACAGAGTACACAAACAAATCTGTATAAACTTTGCAAATGTCTTAAACGAAGTCCTTGTACAACTGTTATGATGAGACCCTAGAGTTTTTTGGAACACTCCACAGAGCAGAGCTGTTACTTTAACTGACGCTTGAAAGTGCTCTTTAACATAGGTCAGCAGATAGAAGTGGTTCAGCTTTCTCCAAGATGCTACAGAACGTGCCTAATAGTACTGAAAGCAAAAGAGATATAAGGAACAGCTGAGCAGTAATCTTAATACATATATTTTCACATATGAATCAAGAACGTGTTCATTTAGATCCTTGACTCCAACTTTGTTACATTGATATGATATCATAGTTACTTTGCAATCCAGGATCTAACATCAGCATCAATGATAATTAATCACTGATAATAATAAATGATAAATAACCAACCTAAATAAATATTGTTCAGTACTATCATTTCTAAATTGCCTAAAATATGACAGGCACCAAATTCTTCTTTCAACATATTTGTGAATTTCCTGCATTGTGCAGGGGGTTGGACTAGATGACCCTGGTGGTCCCTTCCAACTTTGTGATTCTATGATTTATATAGACAAGTATTCCTTGCTGATACAAGGCCTGCTGTGATGACTGGAAACATAAAGGCAACACATTAATTCAAGAGTATGCAAAGCTCTTATTTTCTTCTTGATGACACACCATACAGGGGAATTAGACATGTTAACTTCTACTACTACTGAAGGTGTGGACAGAGGCTCCACTTTAAAATGAGCTTTAGGAAGCACAGTTACTTTACTCTCCAAAGCCCATATCAGATTCTAGCTTACTCCTGGATAAAATTCAAGGGCCTAGAGTTCTGTCTATAACACTCTGTAGGGTTTAGAATCCGGTAACCTTGGCCATCTCCATGGCTGGTGATACTGCTATGCATCTCTATGCTGATGAAGATAATCTGACATACTCGTGCTAGTACTACTACAAAATTTCTTAAGTGTATGTGGGAAGATGGTGTTGGAAAGGAAGGGAAAAGGATAAGGGAAAGACACGACTGTGGATATCCAAAATCCCTGGCAGAGAGAGAGAGGGAGAGAGAACTGTCTTAAGATGCCCAATACAGCTTTGCCTCTAAAACTAAGCAGTCATATTCCTCATGCGGGAATTCCACATGTGTTTCTCTGAGTTCACTGGAGGAAGGAAACAGTAACCGCTGTCTTTGAATTCCTCGCTTTTCATTTTGTCTACTCCTTGCAGCTTTAGAGGTTAACAAGAGGATCCTGTCTGTCATCCGATCTACGGGTGTGCTTAGGGGACAGGATTAGGAAAGACTCTTGAATCCCTGGAGAGCCGTTTCAAGGGATGCTGAAGCTGCACATAGTTGTGTGTATTTTTCTCCTACCGCCACCTTTAAGTTTAGCTGATTTTGGTGTTAAAACATGTCAGGGGAAATATCGGGCTTGATTGACCAGTGGTCTGAACCAGGACAATGCAGTTTTACAAGTCTATATACATGTATATAAAAAAGAAACTGTACAGTGGTGCATCTTTCTGATACTGAACAAGGTAGCCAAATAATATGCGTCTTTAAAGAGCTATGGTGCACATTCTAGAAAAGTCGCTCACTCACACACAGCTATAACTGTTCAGCTATACATAGACAAAAGCAGTATTGGCCCTCAGACATACACGTACTTTCAGCTGCGTCATTTCTTGAACAGACAGAGCAACAGGTATTGAAGATTAGCTACATGCAGGGTTAGTGTGTCTGTGGAAATTAGAACTGGCTCTAATCAACTTGATTACAGCTTCTCTTGATGTAATTGTCGGCCAAATGTGTTCCCATGCTAAAATGCTCAAATCACACTAAACTACCTTCGTTTTCAGTTTCTTTCTGTAACTTCCAAAAGTCATCTGCAAAAACTAATGTTCATGTATGCTTTTAAAAAGAGATACCCGTGTACACATATTACTGTACTGGCCCAAGCTTTTAAAACAACCTATGTTATTCCTGTACAGATAAAAACTGAATGTCAGTTTAGTAGGATTTGAAAATTAAACTAAATGATGTGATCCATCAAGGATCCTTTTATTTTACTGGGGACAAAACAAAAAACAGAAACTGTATGTTTCTTATTTTGAAAGAAGCTCCTAAGAAATTTTGTTCTCCTTCTTCAGCTACCCTGATCTCACATGAAGCTATCTTATACCAAATCAAACCATTGGTCCATCAAAGTCAGTGTTGTCTACTCAGACTTGGAGCAGCTCTCCAGGGTCTCAGGCACAGGGCTTCCACGTCACCTATGCCTGGTCCTTTAAACTGGGGAAGCTGGGGATTGAACCTTGGACCTTCTGCATGCAAAACAGAGACTCTTCCAGTGAGCCACAGCCCCCCCCCCACAGATTCACTAATTGCAAGTAGAAAAGCAACATCCAGGCAACACCACCCCCAGTGTGGAAGCAGCAACAAGCTGGGTGGAAGGAGGATGCGGTATACATGCTCTGTCCCCATACTGCTCACTACTGACCACAGACCCCCCCATCCCGTTGTGCCAGTGAAAACAGCACTGACAATCTTGCTGGGGCCTGCAATCAACTCTTTCCCAAACAAAAGGATGGAGGGGGGCAAAGTAATGAACCTTATCTCTGCCACTTTGAAGGCGGAGTTTAGCTGTCTGCAGCCAAACTGTCAATTCCCCTTTAAGTGGGAGTAAAGGAGTTTTTTCCTTTATTCCTGCTAAACTGGGAAAGCCCCAAGAACCCATTATGTGAGAAGAGCCTGTGTGGAAATTCCCATCCCCCAAAAAAGTGGGGGCACACTGTGTTCCAGCTGGGGAAGAATCCCTGTGGGAAAACATTATTTCTTCTGTACTAACAAGCCTGAATAGCCTAACCTAGCTCGAGCTTGTTATAGCTCAGAAGGTAAGCAAGGTCAGCCATGTTTGTTTGTTTATGTGTTTTTAATTGAATGTTATAACTGCACTTTTAATTGTTGAAATGTTTTACTTTTTTAATGTACACCACCTTGTGGACCCTGATTGGGTGGAAAGGTGGCATAAAAATGTTTTAAATAAATAAATGGCTAGTTCTTGGATGGGAGACCACCAAGGAAGACTCTGCAGGTGAAGGCAATGGCCAACAACCTCTGCTCATCTCTTGACTTGAAAACCCCTTGAGGGGTTGCCATCTGTTGACTGCAACTTGTCAGCACTTAATTATTATTGTTAACGAGGATGCAATCAGGATTTCTAAATTCTCTTAAATGGCACACCTATTATGCAGTTACACAGGTGTATACTTGGGAAAAAGAGGTTCCTCACCTGTCCAAGCTGTTCACATGCAGTCTGGTACTCTGCTCGCTGGCAGAGATCTTTCACCCGCTGGTACTTGGGCAAGAAATTTTCTTCCTGACCGTCCATTTTATCATTCTCTCTCTTGTGCAACAGTTTCCTGGAAATGGAAGAAACCAAGCACATTTCAATTAACATTGTTCCAACACTAGTAGTGTGGGTACGTGACATATTTATATTCCCAGTAAGAAGAGGTGCAATCAGCACTATGGCCTATGAAATGGTACTGTTTGTGCTTCGCTGTCTGGTTTTCTTACACACTTCGCTGTCTGGTTTTCGTAATGACATCAGTGTGTCATTGAAGACATAAAAGCAGTTTTTGAGAATGGTGCAGACAGACATTGGATTGAATCCCAGTATCTGGTCTTCCGTTATAGCCAGTGTTCCCTCTAAGCTGAGTTAGTGTGAGCTAGCTCACATTTTTTTAGCCTCCGGCTCACAATTTTTTGTCTTAGCTCAGGCAGGATGGCTCCAGAGCTGACTAACTTATGCAGCAGCCAAATCGTTTGCTCACAACTTTAATGCCAGTGGCTCACAGAGTAGAATTTTTGCTCACAAGACTCCACAGCTTAGAGGGAACATAGCCCACTGTTTTTCTGAAATGCCTTGACTTGAATGGTCCAGACTACCATGATCTCATCAGATCTTGAAAGTTAAGCAGGATCGGCCCTGGGTAGTAGTTAGATGTAGTCCAGGGTTTCTATGCAGTGGGAAGGCAATAGCAAGCCATCTTTCTAGCTTAGAAAAACCTATAGGATCACTAAAACTAGGCTGTGACGTGACAGCACTTTTTACCACCATTCCATTAGAGGTGGAATCAATGAAAATCTTTCCCTTCTTCCACTGGTCAAAGTGCTCTTGTGCTGGCAGAGGGCAACCAGAGAACCCAGCTCACTGTCTCATTCACTTCTGGAGACTCTTTATTTGTTGTGATGTCTGCCTTTTTGAGAGTTGAATTTGCAAATCACCTCCCCAAGATTCAATGCTAAAATCCTGGCTACTTCTTGATAGAGGCCTTGTTCCTGGGATCCAGTTCCCACCCACCCAAACCCCCTGTACAAGGCATAAAACAATGGAAAACGTTTAAGTTAATAAATTCAGGATTAATCTTTTTAACAAAAGCATGAAGTCCCAGGAAGAGAAAGAAAAATTAGCAAAAAATATTTTAGGTTGTTGTGGAACCAATGAGATGTCACAAGTGGAAAGGAAATTAGAGAAGTATTGTAGGTCAAACTGGAAGACCAATAATTGCCATCTGGCCGGGAGAAAAATGTCCCGTCCTTTAACAGAAGCTTAATGAAGTGTTATTTACCTCGCCCGGAAAAGTTTCAATTTCCCATTTATTTATTTATTTATTATTCAGATTTATACCCCGCCCTCCCCCATAGGGCTCAGGGTGGCTTTCTACATATTAAGCCTCATCTAAAGGGATAGGAGGAGCTGCGGTGGCTCAAGTGGTTAGGACGCTGAACTGCAGGCTGTGGAAGGTCGGTAGTTCAGCAGTTCGAGACCCGAGTTGCCGCATGACGGAGTGAGCTCCCGTCTCTAGTTCCAGCTCCTGCCAACCTAGCAGTTCAAAAGCAAGAAATTGCAAGTAGATAAATAGGTACCACTTCAGTGGGAAGGTAACAGCGTTCTGTGCGCCTTGGTGTTTAGTCATGCCGGCCACATGACCACGGAAACGTCTTCGGACAGCGCTGGCTCTTCGGCTCTGAAACAGAGATGAGCACCGCAACCCTAGAGTCGGACTCGACTGGCTTTCGAGCAAGGGAACCTTTACCTTTAAAGGGATAGGACATTTTTCTCCAGACCTCATGGGAATACAGGTAGGAGTCACTGAAGCCTTTGGTTTTCTCATGAATTTAACCAAATCTTTCTTATACTGTCTAAAAGTCAATATGCTATATAGACTTTTTGAGTAAACGAATTAAAGAATTGGGTGTTGCTGTTACTAGGACTGTGAGTACTTTGTGGTACAAAAACCCTCAAAAACCTACATGCAAGCAATCCAAATTCTGCACCAAGAAAAGCTTAATTCTGCACCAGGAATAATGTATGAAAATTTCTGCATAACCTCTCAATTTGCATAATTTATTGGGCCACTTTGGGGTGATTTCTGAAAGCTATTGTTCCATACTATTATGCTGGTATTGAAAATCATGGAGAAGGTTGCCAACGCCAGGCAGGGAAATTCCTGGAAATTTGGGGGCAGTGTCTTGGGGGGGGGGGATTTGAGCTAGAATTTATAGCATACCAGGGAGTCTGGCATTTTCTCCAGGGAAACTGATCTCTGTAGTCTGGAGATCAGCCGGAATTCCAAGAAAACTCCAGGCTCCACCTAGAGGTTGTTGTTGTTCAGTTGCACAGTCGAGTCCGACTTTTCACGACCCCATGGACAAGATCTCGCCAGGCCCTCCTGTCTTCCGCCGTCCTCTGAAGTTTGCTCAATTTCATGTTCGTTGCATCTATGACACTGTCTAACCATCTCATCCTTTGCCGTCCCCGCCTTCTTTGACCTTCAATCTTTCCCAGCATCAGGGTCTTCTCCAGTGAGTGCTCCCTTCTCATTTGGTGGCCAAAGTTTTTGAGCTTCAGTTTCATTATCTGGCCTTGCAGGGAACAGTCAGGGTTGATTTCTTAACCTAGAGGTTAGCAACTTTATTACTGATCTATCTCTTCAGCTTTTTGTATTTCAGCAGACCATGCTCACATATTGTTAAAATATATAAGGGCTACAAGTTTGTTCTTTTCTTAATGTGATCGCTGAGACTGCCGGGCAGCTGAATTCAGTACCCAGTGTGCTTTCCTGCACATCCATAGTGACAGATCCTTAGCACAGCACTGTGACATTACCGTGAATGGATAAAGTGGTTGGGTATTCCATGAATTAGACAAAAAGGTGCCAATCGGCAGGATCTACCTATTTCATGAAACAAATACTTACTTAAGGATGGACAGCTGCGTGTGGTTGCTTGTTTTTTAGAACTACGTCTAGTTCTTATTATACAGCCATTCCAATGAAATTTTAAAAAGTCTTTTTTTAAAAAGCAATTCCATAAATATAATACAAAGAAATACCAAACAGGGGCTACTGGTTTGGGCTGCGCTTACTTTGGCTATAACAATCCAGTGACCTCTTCCTTTTGAAGGTCAGGACTCTGTAAATAACACTTACCCTCTCTCCACCAAGAATGAGTCCCTCCAGACCTTCATCTTCTTTTTCAAATGGAACCTGGAAAAACAAGCTTAACATGAAAGTCGAACAAAGTCCCCGGGCCCTGCCTCAGCAGAAACATGACTTGGCTCCTCCCTTGAAGATGTATGATTAGAGTGCACCTGGCAGGCAAATGTTGACAGACACAGTTACAAGATAACATGGGAGACGTTTGCTCTCACCTGGATATGGCCTACATAGTCTATGCAGAATACAGTTGCAAATGACGCTGATGCACAGGACAGGTGAAGATGAAACATTTAACCATGATTGGTGCTGGTCATGGCCTGTTGTCTTAGCTCTGATAAATATCACAAACATGTTGTGAAACTATGCGGTACTTCACAGATCTAAGTTCTGGCCCAGATGCCAATAAGATCTGCCTGTCACCTTGCAAACAGAGACTACTAATGCAGAGGCTTTAGCTATGGTTATCAGTGGGTGTTGATCAACAGTAAACCCTTGCTATCCATGGGATTCTCCTGCTTCCCAGTAGCAAAACAACCACATTTCTTGCAAAATGTAATGATTATGGTGGTGGCACGCTGGGAGTACAAAGAAGCTGGAGAATGCATCACATGATTAGTCTGCAGATCACGAATAAGTGAAATGGAACACACACACACGAAGCTGCAACCAGACGACGAATAAGTGAAATGGAACACACACACACACGAAACTGCAACCAGACAACTGGTCTATCAAGGCCAGTGTTGTCTACTCCAACTGTCAGTGGCTCTCCAGGATCTCAGGCAGGGGTCTTTGACATAGCCTATGGCCTGGTCTTTTTTAACTGGAGAAGCTGAGGATTGAACCTGGGACCTTCTTCATGCAAAGCAGAGGCTCTTCCTCTGAGTTACAGCCCTTCCCCCAAATTGTGACTCATGCCTCCTAGACATCTCCTTAACAATGGAGGCACAGGGTAGCAGCCACTGCCAAGTCGGCCTTTTATCATCTTAGGCTGATTAGGCAGTTGGTTCTCTTCCTCGAACGCAACGACTTGGCAACAGTGATCCACGCAATGCTCGCCTCGAGATTGGATTACTGTAATGCCCTCTACATGGGGCTGCCCTTGTCCCAAATCCGGAAGCTGCAGCTGGTGCAGAATGCCACAGCCAGGTTGCTGATGGGACTCCCTATACAGGAGCACATCCGGCCTGTGCTAAAGACACTGCATTGGCTGCCTATAGCATACCGGATTCAGTACAAGGCACTGGTTACTACTTTTAAAGCCCTTTATGGCCAGGGACCGCCTTTCCCCATATGTTCCCCAGAGAGCGCTGCGATCGGGGAACCAGAATCGGCTGGTCCTCCTGAATATCAAGTAGGCCAGCTAGCAACAACTACAGCTAGGGTTTTCTCGGTGGTGGCTCCACTCTGATGTAATGAGCTCCCGGAGGAGATCAGGGCCCTGCGGGACCTGCTGCAGTTCTGCAGGGCCTGAAAACGGGATAAAAATCTAATAAATAAATACATTTTTAAAAAATTAAAAATGAATTGTGACAGTGTGCTGGAATACCTAGTAATGGTAAATATAAGCCACAGGTTGCAAACAGAATTCAAGGCCATTGGTTCACACCCTGGCCAATCCTTGACCATGGTTTAGGTATTCAGTTAAATGCTTAACTATGCACTGGCCAAAGGTCAAACCTGAATCCTCCATTCCTTCTACTGAGGATGTAAAGACAATGTACCCCCCCCCCCAGTTAGGCAAGGCAGTGGAATCCTCTGCCTAAAACTTTGACTTTTCCAAACATCCTGCCCACTGAAAGATATACCTATTGTGAATTAGCTCAACCACTGTTCTCTCTTCAACAGTTGCTAGCAGAGTCTCTCATATAGGGACGTAGCATAAGTATGCATAGTGAGGAAAGCCACCCCCCCCCCTAAGTGCTGATAGAACACCATGGTGTTGGGATGAGCCTACATCTGCAGTGACTAGGGCACAGCGAGTCTTCTCCACTGGGTAATGGTCAACTCCTTTTTTTCTAGCACTATTATAGACTGCATGACAGACAGATGTTTGGGCAGACAGTGCCAGGGTAGTTCTATCTGAGATTCTTCACCTGTCAATGCAGCTTTCAAAGACAGGGAGGGAGGTAGAGAATAAGGGTTTCTGGGATGCAGGTAGCAATAATTATGGATGCAGTGGAGGAATGGCTACATGGAAAGGTGCTAGCCAAAAGGACTGGAGTCTGGGGCATCGAGTCTGTATGAGTGACCATGTGCTCTGACTGCATACCCATCAACACACAGGAAGCTGTCTTATACAGAATCAGATCACCCGTCCACTAAGGTCAGTATTGTCAGTTCTAACTGGTAGCAGCTCTTCAGGGTCTCAGGTAGAGGTCTTTTACATCACCTACTGCCTGGTTCTTTTAATCGAAGGTGCCTGGGATTGAGTCTGGGACCTTCTGCATGCAAAACAGAGGCTCTTCCACTGAACCACAGCCCCTCCCTTCAGCTGTGCATGGGATTCTTGCAGGCCCCTCTGGTAAGTAACCATATGCAGCGCTTAAACCAGGGACCTGAGAGACAATAAGCTTGTGTTGTTTCACAAATGTACACCATTTCCTGCAGTCTTTCCTGCTCTGGTATATATAGCTAATTTCAACTCCAGGGAAAATGGAGGATTCCATATGCATCCTTTTCTTGAGTATCAAGTTGGGTATGTGATTAGAGGAATACTTTTTAATGTAGTCCTTCCTTTTCCTTTCATTTTGCTCCTACTAATTCTTACTCCCAAAAGGGAAGTATTCCCATATTTCCAGTTTTCTAAGCATATCCGTGAATTGATTGGCTGCATACATATATGGCAGACACAAGAGCACAACCAGTGTGGGTTGTGTTGCTATGGATTCGGGTCCAGTTGCTATAGATTTAGTTGCTCATAACTGGGTCTTTTTTAGTATGTCTTCAGTTGAGGGACCATGTGATACTGAATAGCTATGGCAGTAAGATGACAGCATCATTGACATGACAACATCTGGTTCTTAGGACTGAGTTGCCCAGGTGGGAGCATGAAGTTGTATTCAGTGCAATTTCCACACTTACCTATTAACTGGTCTTTCAGAATCCAGCAGTTTTAAAATGGATTTCCCATCCATGTCAGGTGGAATGTCCAGACCTGCAATGTCTAGAATGGTTGGGGCCAGATCTATGTTCAATACAATGTGAGGATTCCTAAAAAGGAAGCACATGTGCAGAGTCTTTATAAAAGCCTTTTTATTTACAGCCCATGTCTCCATAAACGATACAGTTAAACAAAATTAAATGGAAAAGCAACAGAAAGAGCTGTAAAGCATTTATTGAATGCAATTTAAAAGCAGCAGTAATCCCATAATAGCAGCAAAAAACCTGTTCAAAAATACTGTGTTGGATCCTGCAGACTGTGAATGGCAGGAGTTTCCAGAATGGCTTCCTGCAGCCCTCTACAAATTACATAGGAAACTCCCCCCCCCAAAGGACCCGGGAACCTCAGAAACAAAGTGGGATATGGCTGGGGACCTGCATCAAAAAAGTGAGATGCCAGAAATCACTGGTCCCCCAATTTGCATGAGATAATTTCATGAACACAGCAAGGACTTGTGCAAGAGGTGGGAGGAAAAGCAATTTCTGTCAGTTCCTCCTTCCTGGTTCAGCCCTCACACCATGTCACATTCAAGTCTGTTTCTGAGGGCCCCCTGAACCCAAGGGCAGATCTTCAGGGAGTGCAATAGGCTGCAATGAGAATGGGGAGACGGGAGAGGTCAGTTTCATAAATGACTTGAAAGAGCTAACCCAGTAAAAATAGCAAGGATTAATAAGACATCAGATAGATAACTAAATGCTTGGGGGTAAACAGAACCTCTGGAAGGGTAACCCCCAACCCGTTCCACAGCTGAGTCTGAAAATCACCCCAGCATAATGTGGAGATTTATAAGTAAAGCACAATCAATGTCAAAGTCGAATATGCAAATCTTTTTACTAGCTAAAGTTAGCCAGCAACCAAGATCAAAGGTGAAATTAAAATTTCTCAGTGTGAAAAAGCACGTGACCACAAAGCTCCTCTGCTGCCTTGAGAACCGAGGAGCATCCTGTCAACCGTAACTGTGTTTTACTGCAGAGGCAACCTGCTGCCATCTCATGCCTGGCTTCCTTCCGAAAACAGTGCAGAAATTAATATCGGGGCTTGCTGCAATGAAGCTGTGTAAGTTAAGGAAGAAATGGGTCATCTGGCTTCCCATGGGAACAGATTCAGAAGACAGCAGAACAGAAGGGTGGATGAGAGCAGGGAGATGAAATCAGACGAGAGGAAACATATCAGAACTGATGACAAGAAAAGCGCTAACAGGTTATCAATGTTTCATTTTACAGTGATGCTGATAGGAAATGAAAATAGTCATAATTTCCTAGTGTCCTTTGAGGGCTTACATGTGTAAGGGAGTCACGTGTCCAAGACTGGAAGCTTTCCACTCTGGGCAGTTTGTGTTGTACAGTAGCTGTGCTTGCCCAACATTCAGGTCAAACACTCTCCTTTAGCTTCCTTTCATATTTTACAGAGATGAACACTGGCACTAAAGCCAGGTGCTAGGGGTCTTGCAACTTGTGCCTCAAATTCCGAAAACAGTGCAGAAATTAATATCGGTGCTTGCTGCAATGAAGCTGTGTAAGTTAAGGAAGAAATGGGTCATCTGGCTTCCCATGGGAACAGATTCAGAAGACAGCAGAACAGAAGGGTGGATGAGAGCAGGGAGATGAAATCAGACGAGAGGAAACGTATCAGAACTGATGACAAGAAAAGCGCTAACAGGTTATCAATGTTTCATTTTACAGTGATGCTGATAGGAAATGAAAATAGTCATAATTTCCTAGTGTCCTTTGAGGGCTTACATGTGTAAGGGAGTCACGTGTCCAGGACTGGAAGCTTTCCACTCTGGGCACTCTCCTTTAGCTTCCTTTCATATTTTACAGAGATGAACACTGGCACTAAAGCCAGGTGCTAGGGGTCTTGCAACTTGTGCCTCAAATTAATTCATGTAATAGTATTTCCCCTAAAATTTTAACCTTGGTTAAAAGTGTTAGATCCCAAACTGATTTATACAAAGACACTTTTGTTGTTGTTCAGTCGCACAGTCGAGTCCGACTCTTCGCGACCCCATGGACTAGATCCCGCCAGGCCCTCCTGTCTTCCGCTGTCCTCTGAAGTTTGCTCAGTTTCATGTTCGTTGCATCTCTGACACTGTCTAACCATCTCATCCTTTGCCGTCCCCGTCACTACAACGATCCTAAATCCCTCTTGGTAACTTTGCATGTCAACCATGCTTCTTTGTCAGTTTGCCCATCTTTTAGGGTGCTTTAATATATGAGCAAAGCCTCGGGTTGCTTGTGCATAATCTTTTACTTGATACATATGCAACCCATATCTACTCGCTGAAGCTTTCAAATCGCTGGGTGGACAATGAGCTGGGGACAACAGGCTGGCTGCTCACACCAGCGCGGGGCTCGAACTAACACAGTTCGGATGTTAAGACAGTGGGATATACCCACTGTGCCACTGTGTCGTTTTCAGAAGCAGTCATGCATTTCATTCCATCTGAAGTCCTGTATTTACTTGACCAATCATCACAATAAGTGAAGTACAAAACTGAAGCTTGAAACTCATGGAATTTAATTGTGAAGCCAACTGTCCAGAATGAGAGCAGTCTTTTTAACGCTCTTGGAAGCCTTCTGTTGTTGTTGTTCAGTCACACAGTCGAGTCTGACTCTTTGCGGCCCCATGGACCACATCACACCAGGCCCTCCAGTCCTCCACCGTCCCCCGGAGTGTGTTCAACTTCATGTTCGTTGCATCCGGAAGTCTTTTACCACAAGTCAATTAATAAAATCTCAGCATCTAGATAGCATTTTAGGGTCCGAAATGTTTCAAATACACGATCTTGTTTTAATCCAGAACAAGCACTCCATAAGGGAGGTCTGCGTAACTATCCCCATATTTCAGAATGGCTCGATGGAGACAGAATGCCTTGTTTAAAGACCTCCTGGGGAGTTTATGTTAAAATCTCAACTGGAGACTTCCAGATTTTGAGCTGTGTGCGACATCACTAATTACAAAGCTCACTAAAAACAAAAGAGAAAGCTGAGGAACTATGCCTAAAGAAAAAAAACCACACAATTATACAGATCTTTGAGGGCAAGTGCACACTTGCCATAATTCACAGGGAGAAACTGCAGTTCAAAGATAGCACCATATGGTTTGTTTTTCAGCCTTTGTACCTATTTACAGCTTAGAGACACAGCAAGGCAGCGGCATCCTAATTTGCAACAATGAATGAGGCCATTTGTGAATTACTGGATTTGAAAGCAAACAAACAATGACGAGAACCGAGGATGATACATTTGTTCATTTGCTTGACAAGAGCAGCTTAATTTTAATTACTAGTTAATGCGGTGTAGCGTATCTGGGTAAAAGTAATGAACCTATGGTAATGAGGCCTCACTACAGCAATTGCTATTAAATCAGGGCTGATAAGTGGGGACAGTCAGCAATTAGTTTACGTGAAAAATAGAAGGTGCAGACAGCATTAGTGAAGCTGGGTGCCATTGAAAAAGGGGAGAAAAACACAACCCTGAACAAAGAGGTTGGAGCAATGAAAAAGAGATTAAAATATAACTATGAACGTAGAACAAATGTGCAAAACACCGGTATTTAATTTAATAACGCATATAGAAAAACCAAAATATGATTTAAAACAACAACTGCGTGGTTCAGAATTTAAGGTCCTTATCTGTGTCCCCCAAGGTCATGTAGTGCTTCACAAGTAAGAATATCTGATCACAGAAGCTGCATCAGACAGCAAAAATTGCTGGCTCCACAATGGAGCGCTATATGACTTTGGGGTGCACAGGTAAGGACCATGAGTTCTGGGTCACAGAGAAACTGCAAGTGCACTCTTCACAACAAATTTGGCTTTTGGAGAAAAGGGAGTCCTGGATCTTCATATTGGATACTCCGGTGCCAAGAAATCTGAATGAAGGAACTGACTGGTTATGTGTCTGACTGACTTGGCTGATGTTTAGGGTTGAGGTTTGCAAGTAGGCTGATGTAATATTTTTCTCTCAGGTGTTGCTGATTGTTGTTGTTGTTCAGTGGCACAGTCGAGTCCGACTCTTCGTGAACCCATGGACCAGATCACGCCAGGCCTTCCAGTCTTCCACCGTCCTCTGATTACCTCTGATTACCCACACATACACTTTCTATATATAGAGAGGTTGGGTTACTATGAGGCTGATTCTGTTCCAGTTGTTCTGAGCACTCCATTGGAATTTTGAACATATCTGATCTGACCAAAGGAGGTAAATATTGCACTTAAAAAAAAACAAAAAACCTGGCCATTCACACCCCCTTTTTTCCTTGACCACTAAGGAGATTTTTTCAATTTGTAATTTCTGAGCAAAATATTTTATGTGCATTTTAGATCCACGGGCAAAGGAAATATTTTACATTTTGGCGAGTTACCCATGCTGGATTACAAGAAAATCTGATACCTCTTACTCCACAAGTGAACATCTTAGTGTGAGTAAGGTCGTTATCCACATTTTATGAATTCTAAAATTTAATTTCATTTCCCATCAAACACTGAGATTGTTTATTTCTCCTTCTTTTTTCTCATTTCAAGTTGATCCTTTGTATGGTCAGTTTTCAGTATTTAATCATTAAGTTAATGGAGTGCTCAGTTTGATTTATACCACTGAGGAAGGCCTTGTCCCAAAATGTGTATGATATTGGTTCTTGTATAAGTAGCCGATATGTACTTTTAAACCTGTATGTTTGTAAACTGATATTTGTCTTGATACTGGGATTAGGTACTTATAGGCTGAACCACAAGATTGTTGTTTTAAATCATATTTTAACATTTCTACAGACATTAGTGAAGCTAACATGCTAGCTGGTGTTTCCCTCTTGATGGAAACAGTGACTCAAAGTTTGCATTAATTTCACATCTGATATAACCCCTTCCTGGAGTACGTGCAGGCATGACTTAGCCCATTTCTCTAAAGGGATGACCTATGATTTATCAGGTCTTTTCAGGCCCTGATTTATGTGAACATAATAGAAACAGATTTGGACTCTCAGAAGGCACCAAAGTGGCAGACTCCTGCAGAACATAACTGGTTCGTGATTTAAAATGCTACCACATCTC